GGGCAAAAATGCAAACCCTGGCCAAAAGTCACAAAAAGGTTAAAATAAAATTATGTTCAGAGTCTATGATTGAAAACAAGCTTGTATGATTTTTGAGAATTTTTGTATTAAGGGAGGTATTAAAATAAAAATTATGAAGCAAAAATTCAAAATAAACTTCTCAAATTAAATTTCTAATCAAAAATAGAAAAAATATTAAACCAAAGTCAGAATCAATTTCTACATTATTTTGTGAGCTCAAAATATTTTTTGTGGAATTTTTTAGGTCAAAGAAATATTAAAACAAAAATAATCCCTAAACAAGCAAATATTTAAATTCATTAATTTTTAAACCAATCAAAACATTTTTAAAAAAATTCCAATAAAATTACACAAGATAGTAGAAATTATTTTGAACTTGTGATAATTTTTTAGAATTTTCTAAATTGTTTTGATCAAGAAATAAAAATCAGAAAATCAATTAAAACAAAAATATGAAAAATGCATGATAATTTGAAACTGGCCAATCACAACGCGCCACCTCACTTCATCTTCAACCTCTAGCATATGGCAAAACGCGTGCAATACCACAGTTCATGAACCTATGTTCAGATCCATCAATCATGCTCGTTTCTTAACCAAAATCCATGAGATCAAGTGCAAATTAAAGCTGGCATATCATACTACATGATGCAATTTGAATCAAACTCAAAGATCAAGCATAGATCAAGAAATAAAGTCTCAAAAACTGGAAAAACTCACTGTAAGCATCAAATTTATGAACACGATTTCAACAATTATGCTTGAACCAAAGCTCAAATATACATCAATCATAATGATTGGCCAGTTAGCAACTCAATGAACATGATTTGCATCTTCAATTCAAGCTGAAACACATAAATCAAAGTTCAAGAAACTTACATGGATGTGAAATCTGGAAACACGGTTCCTTCACTCCAGAAGCAATCCAATGGTGAAGGCTTGATCTCCTTACTTCACTGAAGCTGAATCACCAAGAATTTTGAAGAATGATCCAAGGAGAAGAGAGATTCGAAGCAATTTGCAGAGATGCTTCCAAGATGTTCAGATTTGCAATGTAGCGGTTATGAGCCTCCCCCTTCACAAATGAGCCTTGATTCTTGTTATATAGCATGAGGGTAAGAGGATAGAAGTGGTATTTGACACTCAAAACTGATGAAGGGTAAGTTTGGAAGTTTTGGCCAAAAATGAGGATGCACATGGAATTTGTGTTTCACTCGTGCATTTGCTTGCCTTTTGTGCTTTTTGTGAGCCAAATGAAGTCAGAATTACATGCCTAAAGTGCCAGCTCATGATTGTTTGAAATGAAGAAGTGTTGGTGGTTTTGCAAAATTGAGCATGTTTTGTATTTTCTTATCCAAGCAAGTTCATGAAGCATATGGGCATGAAATGATGAGTGTAATGGGCCTCAGCATGTCACAAATTACTCATGGGCTTGATTAGAAGCAAAAGGAATGGCTAAAACTTGAGTTTGCAAGAAATGACCATTTTGCATATTTGTCAAAATTCAATAAAATGCCTCAAAATTCCAAAGTCCATAACTTGCTCATATTTTTGAATTTGGACACAAATGAGTATAATTTGGAAAGGTATTGAAAATATATACAATTCCTTAGTTTAGAGTTTTCGCAATTGAATCCATTAAGATCCTCAAAATTTGACATGAAATTCACTAATTTTGGAAAATGACCTATAATTTTGTGATTTCCAAAGACCATAATTCTTGATTTCTTGCCAATTTGGACATTAGACCAAAAGGATATGAAATGTAATCCTCTTATCTTTCCAAGCATGTTTCATTTGCATTTTTTTTTATCAAAGGTGAATAAAATATGAATTTTTGAAGTTAAGTCCTTGTTTTTTCCAAAATTAGAAACTTTTAGGGTTTCTTCATGAACAAGTTTCAACTCAAACCTCAATCTCTTTGATACAATGATCAAAATGGGCTTGAAATATGAAAATTACACCCTTGAATTGATGGTTGACCAAAAGTTCCCTTGGTCAACCTTGACTTTGACTGATTTTGACAAAAATGACCATTTTGCCCCTTTGAATCAATTGATCCACTTCCCTTCAAAATTGATGATCAAAACTTCAAACATATGATATTTCAAACATATAGAGGCCATGTGCAAAGTTTCACTTAAAAAATCTCAAGAAATCTTGATGAAATCCCAAACCCTAGTTTTGTTCAACACATTAGGAGACTGATGAGTCATCTCCAAAACTTAAAATCCTCTGGGCATCTTAACCAATTTCTTGTACAGAGACCTTTCAAATGCCAATGAGATATTGTAGCTTCCAAATCAAGGCTTGCACATTGATCAATAGCCTTGATCAAGCAAAACCCTAATTTGACTGGTGAATCAAAGGAGTGATTCCTTCTTATAATCAAACACAAACTTCAATCCTCTGATGATCCAAAGAGATGGATATAATACCTTGAGATATGCAATAACTTTTGAGATTGAAAGATTCATAGGTTTAGATGATAAAGATTCTACTTGAGCAACTTGCCAATGCAATTAACCTTCAAAGCTTGAGGAAGACTTGATAACCAAAGTACTTTGATCCCAACACAATGTATGAATGCAATGCAATATGATATTCATGATGAAACATAAGCCAAAATCAAGAGGATAAATTTTGGGGTGCAACAGTGACCGTCAAAACGGGCACGACCATTATTACCATCAAAACGAGAAAGACCACCACTTCTCTTAAGATGATTAAGGCCACCACAGCCACGATTAAAGGTTGTGGCATTAGTTTCAAGATATATTATTGTTCTTGTGGGTCGTGACTGGTGGTTTTTTATAAAGAGGTCGCTATTTTGTTCTGCCACTAGAAGTGCTGCAATTAAATCAGAATACTCAGTAAATTCTCTCATTCTATATTGTTGTTGCGATAATATCCGGGATGTATGGAAAGTTGAAAAAGATTTTTCCAACTTTTTTTCCAGTTATAATTATGCCACAAAATTTAGTTATGCTATAATTTGGTGCATATCAGAGTTATATGCAGTGACACTTTTGTAATCTTGGAACCTTAACTTGTTCTACTGATCCATAAATAAGGATAACAAGACTTTCTTCTGATGGTCAAATCTTGCTTTAATTTTGTCCCACAAAATATTGGGATCTTTAACATTTGAATATTTTGTTTGCAATCCATCATCAAAATGGTGCTTGATTATTTTGTTCACTTTTGACTTTCTCTTTTCTATTTTATCTGGGTCATTTGTCGATTTTCCAGAATTGTCTCCTTAATGTATTTTGTTAAGTCCCTCACATGTAAGGTATTCAATTAAATTGTTATTTCAGGTTATGAAGTTGTCCTTAGTTATGCTTAGAATTTTGAATTAATGCTCAAGATTTGACATGATTATAACTATAATTCAGATGAACATAATCAATATTTAATGCATAAAAAAAATCATTTTATTCAATTACAAAATCCATGACTACATATTATTCAAAAACCTCTACTCATAAACCAAGGTATGACTAGTGATGCTAAGACAATAATTATCATTAAAGCTACAAAATCATTACCTAATTCTTCACGCTTGATAATACCGATAAGACACAAATTAATTACAAGTAGAGTGATGAACAAAATAAGAAATTTAGCCATTTGAAAAATATGGATAGATATTTTGAGAATGATGTGAAAATTATGAAAGAAGTTGAAGTATTTATAGAGGTAATTTTTATAAAAATAATAGCCGTTATATTATCGTCGGGGAAAAAGAAAAAGGAAAAGGAAAAATATTAAGTGTCATAAAAAATTATCTAACCAAAATTTACGTGTATTAAAAGAACATATATATATATATATATATATATATATATATATATATATATATATATATATATATATATATATATATATATATATATATATATATATATATATATATATAGGATTTTAGACCTCCACTAAATATAAAAAGTTAGTATCTGCATATGGGATTTTTAAACCTCCACTAAATATAAAAGTTAATAACTGCATATAGAGTTTTTAAATCTCCATTAAATATAAAAGTTAGTATCTGAATATGAGGTTTTTAAAGCTCTACTAAATATAAAAGTGAATATGATGTTTTTAATCCTCCACTCAAAAATTTATTATAGTAATAGTAGTCACACTTATTATAGAGTTCTTGATAAGTTGATCGTTTTCTATAACCAAGTCCAATAATAATAATCAAGATTAAATATATATGTATAGAAGATGTATTTGTTGTAGTAAGAGTTTATGATAGAAACGGTCGTATAATGTGTTGAGAAATACTAAATATTTAAAACAGATTAAAAAATAGAGAGATAAAAGAGACTATGAGAATATATTTATTTCTGAAATTTTGTGTATTTTTACATATATCTAAGATGTATCCAAGATGTGATATTTATAGTAGTGAGAGTCTAACTATTACTGAATCTAATAATACATACTACTATACTAAGTTTGAAATTTTTGTATACGCTAAAGAATAATTACAATATCATATAATAGGACCAAACTTCTGCTCGAAGGGATCATTGGAAGAGACATTTTCTCATGTATTCACAACATGAGGCCACCTTTTCACTCCCCCATTTCTTTATATGAAACCAAAAGCATCACTAGAAAGCATCCAATTTCATCAACTTTTTAACCATAAACTGCCATTACTAAGGGAATCATAATATATGATATCAAAACATCAACATTATTACACAAAAAAACACACATACTTTTGAGGGGGGCATTTAGAAGCAATACATCTTTGCCTTGTACAATATGCTAAATTCATAAATATTCAAAAATATAAATAAATAAAAAAGTCTCAAAGTATATAAAAAAACACAAATTTCACTCCACACTGACATGTCGACACCATGATATTTATTTAATAAAATAAAATAATTTAATATAACCGCAAGTTATGTGTCAAACACAAACACATATTAGACAGATATGTGTTCAATATGTATATATTATTGCGAAATGTAGAATAATTTTGACGCAGTTGGTGAATTAGAGGCCTGCAATGAAAGTGTTTTTGCACAACATTTGTCTCTCCTGAAAAACCATGCCACCTGAGAAATAGCAGTGTTTTTTATTCTGTTTCAAATTTTTGGATTTAAAATTTGTTTCTCATATGTTATGAATGCATCACCAGCAACTCTAACAGCTTTGTGGCTCTTGCATCCCAACAAAATACCGGGATTCCGCCACAGTATCTCCCTAGTGACCTTTGATTTCAATGGACTCCTTACTGTAAATTCAGACATTTGATCTTCACAATCTGACATAACTACCACACTAGTAGTAACTGCACTCCATTCTATGCTCGCCTCACTTGGCGCGTAACAACTTGAAGCAGCATCTGATTTGTTGGAGGATTTTTCTTTGAGACTTTCAATCTCGAACAAATCAGAACTTGCATCACTTCCAGCATCGTCATCATCATAGTTTGCATCAACAATTTCTTCCATTTTGGAAGGAAATATCAATCTTTTATCAATGCTCAAGGAACTTCTCTTGTTATTGGTCAATATTGGATATGGTGATCCAAATACTTCAAGTGATTTTCTTGGTGTATTTTCTTCATCTAATGGAATTTGCATTTTAACAAGGTGGTTTCTTGAGTTAGAAGCAAAACTATTCTTTTCACTGTTTAATCCTACACTCGAATTCTCTTGCTTCTGAAAGAAAACATCTTTATTGATGAAAAGTTCTGAATTAGGCTTTCTTATTTTAATGGAAAGATCATCATCAAGACGATGATTGAAGACCTTTCTTGGTGTTGTTTTTCGATGAACTGCACCATCATTAGAATTTTTGTTATTAAAACCGATTCCACCTGCATGATCACTGATATCAACAGAATTCTTATCAGAACAATAGCGTTTGAGACCAAGTCTTGATAGAACACTCTTAGAATGCACCTTATCTTTAATATTCCTTACAGAATATCTCTTTAAGAGTGCATTTTGGCTGGTCCATGTTGATACAGAACTAATACTTGGAGTTCCATACTCAACATGGTACTTTGTAGAAGCTCTTGAAATTTCAACTACTTTTCTGTTGAAGTATTTTTCAGCTCCAAATACTCCAATCTCTCCACTTTCTTCTATCTTTTGGACTTGATGTAAAGGAGAGTTTCTTTGGTTGATAAAGGGATTGATTATTTGACTTGATTCACCAGTTTTTACTATAAAGTTCTTTTCCTTGTTATTCAAGTATGGAGAGAAAATAACATCATTTGAGTTAAAAGTCTGCATCTGAGAGATTACACAAACAAAGAGAGAATATGAGAAAGACAGTAGAATATTTGAAGTTTGAATGGAAAAGTAATGATATGTAATGAAAAGGCTAAAGGTGGAAAGAGGAAAGGAAAATGGACAAGAGAAAATATAAAGTAAAAGAATGAATGGATGAGTACTAGTTTAGGGTGGGTGGAAGGGTCTTTATATAGTTTTCAAGTGGATTTTATTCTGCTAATTGAGGAGTACCATCATAAAAGAGTCATACCTCTATGGCTCTTCGTCCTATCTCTCCAACACGCCGACAAACTATCGTTAAGCTATCGATCAACTCATCCTGAACGTCAAGTATCTCTAGGTTAGTTGGCCTAGGTGATCTTCTATGAGTGTTTGATGTTATGATAAGGTGTGACACCCTACAGAATCATGTCATGTAGCCCTCAGCATAAGCCTAGTCTACATGAGCGGGCTCACGGCGATGCATCTCATGAATGAGTTTTTTGAGAAATTTTTAGAAAATGAAAAAGGAGGAAGAGGGAAGAATTCAGGCGCAGGATATGTATGAAAAACGTCTAGAGATGTATCTCCAACCACCTACAATTGTTTGAATAAATTGAATTTACAGAGATGTATATTCAGAGGTGCATATTCGGACGCTATTTTTACAGATATGAAAATGCATCATTGAATTCAATTTTAACATAAAAAGAATGTTTCTTCAATTTAGTCTGAAAAATAACAAAAATAATTACATCCATAAATAAATCTCGAAATATTAAAAATATAATAGATTTTCTATAATGGTGTGGAATAACAACTAACAATGAAAAAGAAGAATATCTCCCAATAAAGATCAAAAGACAAATACATTTAAAGTAGACACTACTCTAAACTCATATTTACGACTATTATTAACTTAACCATTGAAGTGTTTGGGTGCACATCCTTCACTTCTAAATTGGAATACAAGACTCTATCAGAACTCGTTGTTAGCATTATTGAAAAAGAAAAAGAAATATTACTTCTAAATGCCACCTCAAAAGTATGTGTTTCTTTTTTGCTTGGAATAATAATATGATGTTTATTTGTGTTGGTTTTAATATATCATACATTACTATATTTGCCTTTAGTAATGGCAGTTTATGGTTAAAAACTTGCTAAAAGTGGATGCTCTGTAGAGATGCTTTCGGTTTCATATAACGAAAGTGAAGTGAAAGGTTGCCTCATATTGTGCATACACGACAAAATGACCCCTCCAATGATTGTTCTATTTTATTGTTTTGTTTTTATTCCTTTTTGTTGGATATTTGGTATCGGAAAGATTTAGCAAAATTTTTACCTTTTAAAAACTGGCTTACATAATAATAATAATGCAAAATATTTATTTTGGTTTCTTAATTATTAGTTTCTTATTTTTTTTTTAATTATTTTGATCTCTTAAATTTAAAAAGTTTCATTTTAATTTTTTTTGTTTAATTAACGATGAAAAAATTTTAAAATCTGTCGTTAAATCTTTCGCTAATTAGACAAAAAAGACTAAAATAAAACGTTTTAAACGTTAAAAGATCAAAATGATACGAAAAAAAGTTAAGAAACCAATGTGAATCCAAATATACAATTAAGAGACCAAAATAAATATTTTACCTACTACTACTAATAATAATAATAATAATAATAATAATAATAATAATAATAATAATAATAATAATAATAATAAAAATGATAGAAATAATAATAATAATAATAATAATAATAATAATAATAATAATAATAATAATAATAATAATAATAATAATAATAATAATAATAATAATAATAATAATAATAATAATAATAATAGAAATAATAATAATAACAACAATAGTAAAAATAACAATGTAACATTTATTTTACACAACTTAAGTTTTGCCATCTATGTGTAGGGTTGTTTTCGGTCCGGATCGGTCCGAGTATTCGGACTCCCAAGAAGTGGATTGAAATCCTAACCAAGTAAATCGAGATTAGATCATAATAATGATGAAATATTTTTTTGGATTGAAATTGGTCCGGTACGTTCAGGTAAACCAAGACTAAACCAAAATATTTTTACTTGTCTTATGAGAATCGAGATCGGACCGATAATTTTCGATCGGATAGTTGGACCGGACCACATGAGAAAAAAAAAGAAAAAAATTAAATTGTAAATTTTTAGAAATTCCAAAAAAATTTATTCACATAACATAATTGTTTAATTCACTATGCATAATCTACATTCTTGATAAAATAGATAAGGAAAAACATTCCATTGCATTTATTCATAAATTCAACAATCTTGGTTCTTAATTCCCATTATGTCATTGAAGGATAAGGAAGGACATTAGTACATAATACATTACATTACAACACCTTCTTAAAATTTTTGTTAAAACATAAGTTATGAAACTTATGTTTTCAAAAAAGTACAAAATAACATTATAT